ATCTGCTCCTTCTCCACGACGATGCCCAACTACGCGTCCCACGAGCAACACTTCGGAAGGTGAACGAACTGGGCTACGAAATGTTTTCTCATTTGCATATTCGCTTGACCTCTCGCAACCCACTGCCACGTCTTCAAGGATCTCAACAACTTCTTGCAGGGAAAATGCTTCCACAACCAGCAGGATGCAGATTCTTTCTAAGAGTTTGTCAAATTCCAAAGCACAGATTTTTACTCTATAGGGATAAACAAACTTCTTAAAAAAAAAAATAAAGAATTATTTATTTAAGTCCATTGTTATTATTATTTCTTCAATTTCACCAGAGAGAAAGAGAGAAAGGGAAAGCAAGAAAGCAAGCCTCCAGGTCCAGGACTCAAACCAGGGTTGGCTATGTGGGAATCCAGCACCTTTAACCACCATGCCACCTGCCGGTCCCTAAACAAACTTATTTCTTTTTTTAAAAAATGTATTTATTTATTTTAATTTGACCAGAAAGGTCAGAGAGAGAGAGAGAGAAAGTGAGACAGCAAGCCTCCAGGTCTGGGACTCGAACCAGTCAACCATGTGGGAGCCCAACGCCTTCAACCACCACGCCACCCACAGGCCCCGAACAACTTATTTCTAAATTGCCAAAAAAATGTTGATTGTGGGAACCAGCAGTTAGTGTAATGGCTATGTCGCTGGACTCCCACGTAGTTGACCGTGGTTCGTGTCCTGGACCCGGTGGCTTAAAACTCACGCCGGGCACGTGTGCGTGCGTACCCAAGATCCCGAGAGGAAAATGGAGAAGGGACTGTGGCGTGACCATCCCCCCTGGGGGGTGATTTCTCGCTTTCTGTCTCTATGTCTCTCTCTGTCTGTCTGTCTGGCAAGCGCACGCGCCCTATAGCGAAAATCTCTCCAAAAAAAAAAAAAATGTTGATTGTAATGGTTTCTATTAAAGATGTGTTTGGCCTAGTTATGATTAATTAAAATTCACAGTCTGAAACTATTACTTTTGCACCCGGTCTAGCAGTTGTTTCACTGTATTGTGTAGGTAACAGTGACAAGGAAAAAAATCTGTATGTTCAGTACAGGTGCAACCAATTTTTTTCCCAGTATTTGTGATCCATAGTCGTTTGAATCTACAGGTGCGAAGCCCACAGACATAGAGCCAACTGGATAACGTTTTCTCCCCAACTAAACTAAACTTCAAGTCTGAGTCTACTTTTGACTTTTCTTAGGGATCTTCACTGCCTTCAGATAACAGGTATTTAGTTGTAATGTAGAGTATGTAATTTGAAATATAAATGACACCAGAACCAAATTTTATACAGAAAACAAATATTCCATGAACAAAAAAAAGAAGCCTAAGTTAAAAATACGTAGGTGATAAGACAAGATACTAGCCTCATTAGGGAAACTAGGGTACACTAATCCGAGGGACGCACAGACCAGGGATGCCTATTTTACATAAGGATTCTTCTCCAAAGTTGAACGGAATCTTTTCAGAGTTCACTTAAATACACAGTCTACCTGAATTCATACTTTAGCATTTAAACACAGGGACCACCAGATGGCATAATGGACTCCCACATAACTGACTGCAGTTCGAGTCCCCGACCCAGTGGCTTAAAATTCACGCTGGGCACGTGTGCAAATGTGCCCAAATAGAGAATAGAGGAGAAAGCACTGGGTGTGGCCATCTCCCCTAGGGAGTGATTTCCTGCTCTGGCAAGCACACATGCCCTATAGCAAATATTTCTCTTTCTCTCTCTCTCTCAAAAAAAAAAAGTATTTAAATACATACAATTGAATGTGTACAATACTACATAAAAATTTTTAAGTGCCTAGAAATTTGCTACTAAAAGAAAACACATTAAGGGGCCAGCCAGGTGGTGTGGAGGTTAAGGCAGTTGGATCTCACAAGGCCAACTGTGTAGCCAAGTCCTGGATCTAGCAACTTGAAAAACACACTGCGAGGGTGTGTATGCGCACCAGTCCTGAGAGGGAAATGGAGAAGACTGAGGCATGGCCATCCCGCGGGGAGGGTGATTTCTCTCTTGCTTTCTTTTCTTTTCTTTCCTTTCTTGTCTCTCTCATCACCCCCCACAACGAGGCTCCTGAGGGCAGGACTCTTGGCCATCCTGCTCCTGCCTGTATGTGCAGGCTGTGGCACAGCGTCCAGTAGTCTAGTCTACCCAGCAAACATTGGGTATTAACCAAACAGGCGGGCAGAGAACCAGATTCAATGTGCCATGAGGCAGGCTCCCCATGCGAGACGAGGCTCTCCGGGCCTCAGAGATCTGCTCCTCACTGTCCTTCCTTCCTCCCTTAATACCTGCTCTACACCACAGGAATATATAAACGGTCAACAGTTAGAAACTGTAGCCTGAAATTTACTAAGCTCTGTAGATGAGTCGATGGTATTGCTTCAATGTCAGTTTCCTGGTTTTGGTAACTGTACTATGCTTCTGGAACAATTCGTTATAGTACATCTAACAGCTTGAAGGGTGTATGCGTGAAGGGATATGAGAATCTATATTAATATCGCAGCTTTTTTGTAAGTCTAAAAATATCTGAAAATAGAAATACTTACTGCACCAAGTGATGGTCCATATCTTCCTGTGGCAACTTTACACACATAACTGACAAAATTGGAAATAACACCTGAAAAATAAGTCACATTTCAATAATTCAAGGGAGGTGTAACAACGGTTTCCATTTCTGACCAGCAAGGCCAGGTCCCTACATGGACCACTGTGGTGTGCAGGCTTAAACACTTACCCTGCTCATCTCCTCAGCTACTCTACAGCGAAAGGGAAGCCCAGCCCACTGCCTGACCTGCTGAGTGACAGGGCACTCACTTCACCTGCTCCGTTTCTTCAACTACAACATGAAGAAAGGAGGTCAGTCCCTCAACTCGCCAGCTACCTCGGAATTCTGGGGCTGGCACTCCAGACACACTCACTCAGACTCTCGGGGGTGAGACACTGCGCTAGATCGTCCCTCAAGACCCATGGCTCCTGTCAGTTGGGCTCAATGTGGCTCACTTTAAAAAACAACTGAGCTGGCTCCACTGCCTAGTGGTTACGAGAGCTAGATCTCACATGGCCAACTGCAGTTCGAATCCTGGCTCTGGTAGCTTGAAAACACAATGGGGGTATGTGTGTCCCAAATCCTAACAGCATGAAGAAATGGAGAAGGGAACGCTGCATTATAAGCTTTCTCCTCCTCCCCTCTCTCTCTCTCTCTGGTAAGTCCCCTCTTGGCAATAAAAACGAAACCAGAAAACATCCCATGGAACAGGACTCAATGGCATCTTGAAACAGAATCTTTGTACCTACACTACTGCTACTGCTGCTAGAGGAAAGAGCTATACATTTATCACACAGGCCAAAGATACTGCTCATGTTTTCCTTTAAAAAAAAAAAAATGCTGGGACCAGCAGACAGCATGATTGCATTGCTGGACTCCCAAATGGCAAACCACGGTTCAAGTCCCAGACCCAGTGGCTTGAAATTCATGTAGGGCACATGTGTATACCATGCCCAAAATCACAAGAGGAGAATGGAGGAGACGAGATTGGACATGGCCATCCGCCATGGGGCGTGATTTCTCGCTTTCTCTCTGTCTGGCAAGCACACGCACCCTATAGGAAAAATCTCCCTAAGAAAAAAAAGGGGTAGGGGGACCAAGAGATGGCATAATGATGATGTCACTGAACTCCCACACTGTTGACGGTGGGTCATGTCCCGGACCCGATAGCTTGAAATTCATGCTGGGCGTGTCTTCATGCATGCCCAAGATCCCAAGAAGAGAATGGAGAAGAAGGAATTGCAACGTGGCCATCCCCCGGGGGATGATTTCTCACTTTCTCTCTCTCTGGCAAGTGCAAGCGCCTTACAGCAAAAATCTATCAATAAGGGACCAGCAGTTAGCGTAATGGCTATATTGCTGGACTCCCATGTAGTCAACCACGGTTCAAGTCCCAGACCTGGTGGCTTAAACTCACGCCGGGCGCGTGTGCATGCATGCCCAAGATCCTGAGAGGAGAATGGAGAAGAGACTGCGGCGTGGCCATTCCCCCTGGGGGGGTGATTTCTCGCTTTTTGTCTCTCTGTCTTTCTGGCAAGCGTGCGCGCCCTATAGCAAAAACCTCTTCAAAAAAAGAAAAAAAAATCTCTCAAAAAAGAAGCCAGAGGTCTGTGTACTAACCAGAGAGAGACAGAGGGGAAGGAGAAGAGGAAGAGGGAAAATATGATGAGGTATGGCCACACCACAATCTCTTCCCATTTCTCCATCCTGTCAGGATTTGGGGCAAATATGCGTATGTGTCTGGCATGTTTTTAGAGCCTCTGGGGCTGATTCGAACTGTGGTTGGCCATATGGGATCCCACATCCCTAAACAACTAAGCTACAAGGAAGACCACTCAGTTTCTACTTCTGAGGCACTAAGTACACAAGAGTATTTGATTAACATTAATTGGGATCAACAGGTGGCATAATGGCTACGTCACTGGATTCCCATGTAGTCAACTGTAGTTCGAGTCCTGGACCTGGTGGCTTAAACTCATGCAGGGCACGCGTGCGTGCCCAAGATCCCGAGAGGAGAATGGAGGAGAAGGGATTGCGGCGTGGCCATCCCCCTGGGGGGTGATTTCTCACTTTCTGTCTGTCTCTTTCTTTCTGGTGAGTGCATGCGCCCTATAGCAAAAATCCTCTCCAAAAAAAAAAAAAAAAACACAATTACTGTATTCCCTAAGAATTCGTGTCAAATTATAGCACTGAATAGACTACACTATGAGAACTGAGAATAATAAAAGAACATGGGCGGGATATTATTTAATATCAGCTAATTGTGTGTGATGATACGAAATCCAAGTTTCCCAAAGTCAAGGAGACATGTTGGTGTTCATGATATCTAATTCTGTTACTGGAATTAAATTGCTTACCAGGTTTTTTTAAATAAATAAATAAAAGATGAACATTAATTAACCACCCACTCTGGGTCTCGTGGTAGATGACTTATGTAGTCCTTTCTACAGTCCCTGGTCATACAAGCATAAGCAGCTGTTTCCAGAGAGCCGTCATTTCTGCAGCAGCACCAGCTGGTGGTTCGGTCCCAGCACTCATTCTTGCACAGCAAAACTATGGCAAACTAGCTGTGACCTAAAGCTTTACAACTGCACCGCTGGGGGTGTGAGCTTGCGTAGGGTGACTTGACAGTGACTCAAGATGACTGAGAGCAGGCAATCTAGGAGACATTTGGGGGGGACCAGCAGGTGGAGTACTGGTTAAGGCGCTGGACACTGCCACATGGCCAACCATGGTTCAAGTCCCAGATCTGGTGGCTTGCTTTCTCACTATCCCCATTCTATGCATGCGTGTGTGTCTCTCTCTGGTCAAATTAAAATAAATGAATGAATAAATAAAATTTTAAAAAATGTTTTTAATTGCCAGATAGTGTGTATACTCACCAGACATAAAGATAAAGAGAAGGAGGGGGAAAAGAAATGGAGTGTGATCGTACTGCAACCCTTTCTCCTCCGTTTCCACCTTGTTAGGATTTGGGGCACACTTGCACACGTTTGGTCTTTTTTCCAAATTACTGAGACAGGGATTCAAACCATGGACAGGCAGATTGGAGCCCTTACCCACTAGGCTACATTGCTGGCCTTTGGGAACCATTTATATATAAGCAGAACTACGCTCAAGAAAGCAAGGCCCAGTGAGGTATAAGGTGACATGTTTCAGTTCTGCACTAACCTTTCACTCCTGCTTATCCTGATTTATTCAGAAGTGAGCATTCTCACGTAATTCACGTAAAAGGAAATTTGCAAATGAGAAGAAAGGCACGCTCCACCATCCGTAACACCTTGAGAAAAACACATCCTAAGCACTTGGTGTGTGCAGACCACGGCAGTGAGCACTCCCTTTGTCCCTTCTGCAGCAAGGTACGAGCTCCTACACACTCAGAGGCCCCGAGACGAAAGCCCGTTACCTGCAGACAGGTACACCGCCATGAACTGCTCCTGGCCCAGAATGCTCACTATGCTGGAGGAGAAGCTCCACAGCACGTACATGTTTGCTGCCATGTGGAACAGGGAGAAGTGGCTGAATGTTGACAGCAACATCGGGGCACACAGGACCTCTATGAGAGAGAAAAGCACCACCAATAACCCTGGGACCTCAGACAGTAATAACTGCTCATTTTACTTTTTCATTATTGTTATGCAACAAATCAAACATGGGGAATAAAAACAGTCAGTTAAAAGTTTGATAAACTCTGAATAAGATGGTTTAATACAGCACTTGCCAAAGTAATTAAAAACCTATCTTTTTTTTGAAGAATTATTTTACTTATTATTATTTTTTATTTTCTCTAGGGCATATGTGCTCACCAGAGACACAGTGTGGGGGTAGGATAGAGTGAGAAAGCAAGCCTCCAAGTCTAGGACTTGAACCATGGTCAGCCATGTGGGAGTCCAGCACTTAACAACCACGCCACTTGCTGGCCCCTCAGAAAGCTATCTTAATGAATCTCTTTTTTTTTTTTGGAGAGATTTTTCACTGTAGGGCGCGTGCGCTCGCCAGACAGACAGAGAGAGACATAGAGACAAAGCGAGAAATCACCCCCCAGGGGGGATGGCCACTCCGCAATCCCTTCTCCTCCATTCTCCTCTCGGGATCCTGGGCACGCACGCACACGCACCCGGCGTGAGTTTTAAGCCACCGGGTCCGGGACACGAACCGTGGTCGACTACGTGGGAGTCCAGCGACATAGCCATTACGCTAACTGCTGGTTCCCCTTAATGAATCTCTTTTCTACTTAGTAGACAACCAATCAAAATTCTCAGCTTAATAAAAGCAACTTGTCTTTACAGCAAAAGTTAAAAAAAAAATAAGTAAACTGTTTCAGTTATAGACATAAAGCACACAGTAGTCTCCTCAAAGAATAAACCTGTAGTGATCACAAAGCTCAATTCACTAAAAAATATTGGTATCCACTATGTGAAAGCTACATCTTAGGCACCCGGGACACAGCAGTAAAAGACATGAGGTCCTATCAGGAAGCACACAGCCCTCTCCTATGGATATTGCTTATGATTACGGACAAGTACTTACCTCTTTTGCACGATCTCAATTAATGTAAAGCATATTTCTCTTTTTTAAAAAAGAATTATTTTACTTTATTTATTTATTTATTTTAATTTGACTAGAGAGGAACAGAGAGAGAGTGCAAGCAAGTGAGAGAGAAAAAGAGAAAATGAGAAAGTGAGAAAGCAAGCCGCCAGGTCCGGGACTTGAACCAGGGTCAGCCAGGTGGGAGTCCAGGATCCTTAACCACCACGCCACCTGCCAACCCCACAGAGCCTATCTCTTTCATATAGTCTCTACCTCAAAATAAAATCACATAAGTCAGACTTACTTGAGGCTGGATTTGATGTGAAATATCTTATCATTGTCCGCTGGAGGGAAGGTACTCTCCATAAACAAAATACAAAGACATTTGCAGCTATGATACCTACAAAATAAATATTAATAATGTAGTGAGATTCAAAATGGGAGGAAAGAAAGTCTTACCTACGTTTACCTCAGTAATTCCCTGTTGCAATTATGCCGAGGCTCCCAGAGCACTGGCGACATGGGCATGGGTGTGAGCACTCACAGTCCAGAGCACCGGCGGCATGGGCATGGGTGTGAGCACTCACAGTCCAGAGCACCGGTGGCGTGGGCCTGGGTGTGAGCGCACCCATAGTCCAGAGCACCAGCGGCGTGGGCATGGGTGTGAGCACCCACAGTCCAGAGCACGGGCAGTGTGGGCTTGGGTGTGAGCACCCACAGTCCAGAGCACCGGAGGCGTGGGCCTGGGTGTGTGCGTACCCAGAGTCCAGAGCACTGGAGGCGTGGGCCTGGGTGTGTGCGTGCCCACAGCCCAGAGCACGGGCGGCGTGGGCCTGGGTGCGTGCGTGCCCACGGCCCAGAGCACGGGCGGCGTGGGCCTGGGTGTGTGCGTGCCCACAGTCCAGAGCACGGGCGGCGTGGGCCTGGGTGCACCCGCAGTCCAGCCGGCTGACTCTGGGGCTCGAGCACAGCAGCAGGGCCTCTCAAGGGCCATACCTCTATCTGCCCCTCCACTCACGGAATAAATAAGTAAGCTTAAAACAACAACAAACACCACCACTGATCGGTACAATCAGAGAACCACGAGAAAACCACAGGTGCTTTAGGAGCCAACTCCCTTTACCCAGACGTACATTGGGTTCTTGGAAAAGTCATGACGTATTTTTTCGATGTCTTCTATGCAAAAACGTGTCATGACTTTTCTGACAACCCAGTACTTTACTTCTCCGGAAGAGTTTGCTCAAGAAGCAGATCTATAACTACTGTCTGGTAGTGGACAAGTCAAAGACAGAAGACGTACAGAATTCGGTTCTGTGGCCTGTCTAGATCATCTGTGTAGGTGAAGGTCGACATGTCTGAGAAAAACAGTCACTTGATGAAAATGCAAGGGTGATCTGGAAGGATGCTGTAATTGTTCCTGAAATGTCAGCATGTAAGAGTTAGGGGACCGTTTCTTTTTCTGCAAAAGCTGATAGAACTACCACTAAATCAAGTAGGTCTATTTAATAACAGCATTTACTATTAAGTCACATTTTATTTATTATTTTTTAAATAATCATTTAATTTTATTTATTATTATTCTTCAATTTGTTGAGAGAGAGAGAGAAAAAAAAAAAAAAGAGGGAGAATAAGAAAGCTACCAGGTCCAGGACTCGAACCACAGTCAGTCATGTGGGAATCCAGAACCTTAACCACCACACTACCTGCCAGCCCTATTTATTACTATTTTTTTGTTAGAGAGATTTTTGCTATCGGGTGCATGTGCTCACCAGACAGAGAGAGAGAGAAAGTGAGAAATCACCCCTTGGAGGGATGGCCATGCCGCAATCCCATCTCCTCTGTTCTCTTATGATTTGAGGCATGCAAGTCCACAGCCCGGCATGAGTTTCAAGCCTCCAGGTCCCGGACTTGAACTGCAGTTGGCCATGTGGGAGTCCAGCACCTTAACTACTACACCACTTGCTGGTCCCAGTCACATTTTTTAAAATTTCAGGTTTTTTTTAAAGAACTATTTTATTTACCTTTATTAATTATTATTATTATTACTATTTTCCAATTTGACCAGAGAGAGAGAAAGTGAGAAAGCAAGCCACCAGTTCCAAGACTCGAACCACAGTCGACTGTGGGAGGCTGCGCACCAGCGAGGAGGA